CCCTCCTCCCTTCTTCTCTTCCACCCTTTCTGAAAATCAATGGGAAAAATATCCTAGGGTGAGGCTTAACTATATATATATATATATGGAGAGAGAGAGAGATTGGCAGGTGGCTGTTGAGAGGATAGATATAGTCATTACCTTCATGTTCTTGCTTATGTAGAAGTGGATTTGCTACTGCCTGTTATGGGAATGTCTGGGAAAAGACAGTGCTTGACTGAAAGGGTCAGAACTGCAGTAACCATAATGAAGAATGAAAAACAGAGCAAAAAACTGAGGTTAAAAAAGCCACTATCCTCATACTTTTCTCTTCAGTGTCAGTTCTAGGGGAAATGGCAAAGTAGGTCAAGTTTGTGTTCAGTGCCCCACCCTCTGTCACAATGACTTCCTCCCCAATCCTGAATGTGTGGCTCTCCTCTCACTGAACAGGAACCTCAGGGGCATTTAAAGGAGTGGGGCTCAGAAACTTGCCAGACTCTGAAATCATATAACAAATCCTGCAGTCGTTTAACCGATAGAATCATCTGTTGAATATGGAGCACACAAACAAAATTCAAGCCCTGACATAAAGAAAAAACAAAACTAAAAAACAATCCATTAGCTTTAGTTCTCATAATTTTCTAAAATGTCCTCTGGGAAGACAAAGGGCAACCCTTAAGAATGTAATTTAGTTTTAAAATTGAAATTCATTGGAGCAAACCTGGCTCATTTGGAATTTCTATTCTTTCTCAACTTTCTATTGATTTATTTTTATTAGATTTTAATTAGGGATTCCATTGTGAAATGTTTTGAACCAGAATGTAATTTAAGGAGTCAGATTTTTCTAGCAGTAAAGAGAGAACAGTGGAAGCACAGAATTGAATGAGGAAAAAAAGGAAATTATTTGGCAATTAAATGGAATGAGAGAAAAAAAGGAAGAAAGAATGTGAACAGAACAACACCTGAGGCTCAGTAAAGTCTGGAATCCAGAGGAGGGACTGACAGCTGGCAATGCAACACAGGAGTTAGATTCATGACTGTGACTGTTTCACTGCAATCCCCAGCCTGGGTTGTCAGCAGTCATAACGTACGCTGATATTCCACCGACTTCTGGCTTCAAGAATCGGTTTCAGTCAATTACAAAGATATCAAGAAAACTGATTATCCCCGACTCATAGGGAACAGGTGGACAGCTATGGAGAGGGAGTGTGGCGGGGACGAGAAGGTGGTAGAAGGATGAGCAAAAAAGAAAAAGAAAAAAGAAGTGACAGACGTGAACAACAATATGGTGATTGTGGGAGATTGGTGGAGGGGACAGGGGAGATAAATGTGGTGGAAAATTAAATGAAGAAAAAATGTTTTAAAAAAGGAAAATTGAGAGCACTTGGTATTACTAAGAAGCTCAGATAAATCATCAATCGCATTTATGAAAACTGCATAATTATTATTTTTGGAATCAACAGAAACTACTGAACTTTAGGACAAGCTTATTAATTTTTTAAAAGAAGAAATGTTTATTGCTAGTAATAAAAATAGTTTACAAGGTCAAGGGGAGAAAAAAAGGAGACATATATAATACTCTTTATAATACTTGAAGCAATAAAACAATTTAAAAAATAGTTTACAGTGTTTTAGTAGATAGAAATTCAAAGGAGCAATATTTTCTTAAAGAAGTTAAAGATTTAATAATATTCTGAGGCATAAAAAGTAAATTAACTTAAAAATGTTTTGAGTTTTATTATTTATAAAACTGTATGTGACTGTTATTTAAATAGATAACATTATATGTATTTTATTTTTAGTTCTTGCTATAAAGTGGTTTTTCTTACTCGAAAATATAAATTCAGCAAAATAATATCAAATGTTTTTTGTCAATTTTTTGTGTATATTTCTAATAAACAATGCTTATTAGATAGAAATATAAACATTTGCATGTCTAAGTAATGTCCTACTATGTATGGTACATACAAATTCTAAAATATTCAGATCCTTTTATCTATCTTCCACCTACCTAAAATACTCAGTGAAGTGAGTATAGAGAAAATCTAATTGAAAAAAAAAATAACACAAAAATTCAATTAAATAGACAAATATAAATACTTTTTGAGAGTTTTTTTAATCACACTAAGAGAAACTAAAATAACCTCTTTCTATTAAATAGTTTATTAACGTAAAATCCTTAACGCTATCTTTAGCTGTTGTGTAATACAGTTTACTTTCAATTAACTACTGATTCCTTTCAAATATTTTTACTAAAATAATGGGCAACATATACTCCTGCTATATATTTGAGATGATTAAACTGATGGTAGAAAAAATAAACAAATATCAGGAACAAAACAAATGGAAAAAATCTAACTGCACAAAAGAGGAGAAAAAGTAATATTTGAGCTAATAAATCAATAGCTCAAAAAGGCTTAATCATAGGCCAAGGAAAACAATTATTAGCACAAAAGATTCCACTAAAAATGTGGAGATTATTTTTAATGTATTTGAATTTCTAAGTTAAAGAAATATTTCAATTTAGAAATAGAACACTATTTTTCTTACTTGAGATCATTTAAATAGTGATGGAAGCCAAAAAATATAAAATGTAATATGCTACTGGTTTCTAATTGAAATCTGTTAAAGCACTACTACAAAACTTTAGTAAGAGAAAAAAAATCTGATAAACAGGTTTCTTTTGTTTAGTTTTTAGTTTCTTGCTCCTAAAAGGAAATATATTTTTGTTCCTTTTATATTAAAAATTTTAATAGATATTAATTAAATGAGTGCATTAGTGAATGCAATTATTCAATGAAAGATTATTTCAGCTAAACTTTCAAGTTCATGTTTTAAAGTAGAAGTCCATATCCTATATAATTAATTGATTACCTAAGTATAGTTTTCAGATTTATAATAATTTCCCCATATTTATTAATAAGGAGATCTGAAAACTATTTGTGTTACAGGAGATATTTCTACTGGCATTTTCACCCTTAGACCAACAATATTTGTGTGTCATATTAATTAAAATATATGCCAAATATATTTTCTTTTAAGAACAGTAGTCACCTTGCTAAAATATTGTTTTTGATATCAATTTTTTAAAATCATGTTTTTACTATAATTTAAACTTTCAAACATAAATAACTTTCTTTTTCTATAGAGGTCTTTTTTATGCTCAATAAATACACTGTTCAGTTAGTTCATGAAAAGGAATTAAAGTATTAATGTGAGCAGCAGTGTACTTGTTTATATTTTTGATTAAGAAAGGAAAATTGGAATCTCATGAAGATAGACAATAACTCCAAACTCTTTACTTACCATATGCAACTTTACAAATAGTAGCCAAAAAATCATCTGCTTAATTACTTAATTATACACATAAATGGGTCTGTCTTATACTATTCATTCACATATCAAGATCCAGCCATTATTTAAGATGTGTCTAAAAGATTTACATAATATCACATAGTCACAACCCATAAAGACCTTTAAGTCATGTTCAAGTAAACATTCAAATTTTCAGGAACTGTGAATATTAAGTAAGTATTTAAGTAGCTTTTGTTAGCCCTAGCTGGTTTGAATCAGTTGATAGAGCTTTGGCCTGTGGACTGAAGGGTCCCGGGTTCTATTCCAGTCAAGGGCACATGCCCAGGTTGTGGGCTTGATCCCCAGTAGGGGGTGTGCAAGAGGCAGCTGATAAATAATTCTCTCTCATCATTGATGTTTCTATCTCCCTCTTCCTTTTTCTCTGAAATCAATATATATATGGCTTTTGTTAAAAAAATTTAAAAAAACAAGATTTCTGTTAACACAGAAAATTGTGATGGTAAAAGTTCAGAAGAAAGTTATCTATCTAGCACTTATTACTTAGAAAAGAAGGCCTTAGGGAGGTCAACCTTAAAATAAATCCAGCATAATAATATTAAGTGCAGAAATATTTATATCCATGTTTACTTATTTTTGTATTAAATAGATGTTTATGTATATATAAAATTTGAATATTATTAGAAAAGTTAGTAAACATTATATCCGCTAAGCTATATAAGACAGAGTACACTACAGGCAAGAAATTACTTTCTATGAATCATCAATTAATAAATGACTTAACAGCTGTGTTTATATGTATAAATCAAGTTTCTCATTAAAAACTGAAATGATAAATATTAAATATTTAAATATCGTGACTATTTTGAAAACTACTATTATATTAACTAATGTAAAATACATCTGAAATTCTGAAACACAATTTATAAAACAATTAATTTTTCATTTGTTATAATTGGACATTAGAAAAAAGCCTATGGTCTCTAATTCTTACACATGAAAGTAGTTTAATTCTCTTTGGGTAAATCATCAGCAAATACTGCATTATGCTTAAAACAATGAAAACATAAAATTAATAAAAAGGCATAGCAGATGAATAAATTAAAGGTGGACTTTTAGAATGTATGTATTTATTAAGAAATATATTTTCATCTCTGAGTAAACAAGTTCATTCTTATTTGAGATCTATGAAGACTTCAATGTAAATCAAAACCAAAGGAGCAAAAACTCTGGCTTAGCTATTATTCGACTCTTTAAAAACTAAAATTCACTCTCAAAATACAACGACTCTAAAAATACAATTCCAATCAAGTTTTCATTTTACCTAAATGTGTTGAATTTACTATTTTAACCCTAAAAATGAATATATTAAAATGTGCATATTTAGGTAATATATGCCATATTTTGCTTCTAAATAAAATGCAAAATAAGAAAAGTTAGAAAGCATTCATGAAGATAAGAACAAATCTAGTGACTTAATCAAGTTCTCATTTTAAGAAGATTATAGACCACTATCTATGGCCTTTCTTTCTCTCTTGTTTCTGAGGTACTTGAATAGTTGCTCTTTGCCTGGGACAAAGTTGGGATTTGCTGTTTCTTTTGATACATTAATGGTCCATTCCACCATAATAAACTGCAACTCTAGTGCTAATTGGTTCAAAATGATTGCTAAGCTTTACACTTGGTAAGCATTGGAAGGCTTCACTCACCTTGTTCAAGTGGTTGGCTTTTAGTTGAAGTAGTTTTCATCTTGAGTGCCTCCCTAACAGACATGTCACAGCAGGAGCCTTTGTTAGTGTCTTGGTCACTGTCAGCCTGATCACTGTCCCCGTGCCCACTGTCTCTCAGGCTGGCTCTTTCTGGGTCCTTAAACGTGGAGCTACTGAAATACATATAAAGACAAAGAAGAGAAAGTGGTGTCTCTACGAGTTTGAGTCTAGTGTGGTTACTTGCAAAGCAATTTTGACACGAATGCAAATGGGGAAGCTGAGAAAGTTATTTAATAGGCCTTACCTTTGAACAAACTGCTGCCTGCTGCCCATGTAATTGGGCTCTGCGGGAAAATTGTCTGTCTGTGAAAGAGAAGGAAAAAAATACGTATAGTTGTACACTGGACAAATCTCCTGCAGAGCAACAAGATTTCCTAGTGGAAAAATGATTAATAATTCAAAAATTCCCTTAATCTTCAGATTTGTACATTTTAATTAAATTGGAAATTGCTGACATGTAATTATGTACTCAGAACAATTAAATGATTCCGGTCCACAAATTACCTGTTAAAGTAAACAATGAACCTGTCATAACTGGCATTCTCTCTTAGCACCAGGATGGATAACACTGTGTTGTTTCATTATTTAGATATTAAGATTGAATATTTGTGGGTGGAGTAGAAAAATGACCTAATTTCTCCATAATAAAAGTGTGAATTATTTAATAATGCTCATTTTTAACATAATTACATAATCTTCTGGGATTCTATGCCTTCTTTGATGTAATATCATTTTAAAGTCATCCACTCCTCAATTAAGAGATACTGATCCTTTCCTTCAAATTACCAGAGTAAGGAGGATGGGAGGAGGTAGAAGAAGGTAAAAGGGAGATAAATGGTGATGAAAAGAACTTGATGTTGGGTGTAAACATAGAATGCAGTATACAGATGATATATTATAGAATTGTACACCTGAAACATATAATTTTATTAACCAATGTTACCCCAAAAAATTCAGTAAAAAATAAAATAAGTAGATAAGCCGGGCCCATATAATTCATTCTGATCTACATCTCTACTATAAAAACTGTACTCACACAAGACAATGGAAAGATGTATTATTCCCTGGTTATTAAAAACAAAATAAAAGAAAAATAAGAAATAAAATGTTACTTAAAACACCGAGAGAAAAGACAGTGAGAAACCAGGCTTGTTTTTTGTGGTTGTTTCTCCTGCCTCCAAACTGACCTGGAGATCTGCCAAGAAGAACTGAATTCTCCTTGTATCATGGAACAGAGTCTTTTGGGAGAAAGAGACTAGATCTTTCACAGATCTCCCTATACTGTACATTCACACACGTTACTTCTTGCAGCTGACTCCAGGACAAGGGGGCTCCTGTTTTCTGCATCACTTCATATCACGTCATTAAGCAGCTATGGGTTCGTACAAGATCATCCAAGCATGCGAGTATCAGTGGCACAGGAGCATGCAATTCATGAGGCAGAGGGCCCAAGGTAAGGCTTACTGCAGTGCAATATGTGTTTTCCTTATAAATAAGCCTAATTTATTAATTTAACAGTACTCTTTTTCTCCCCGTGTAATAATTTATTTGGCTTTTCAAAGTATTCCTAGGGGGGAGGGGAGGCATGCTAAAAGTAACATCTTAAAGCATTAAGTTGCGATGTCTGTTAGAAGTTTGAGGACAGAAGAAACCCCTTACAAATATCTTAATTTGTAATATTTTGTTGTTGTTGTTCAAATGAATTTTATCCAAAAAAAGTAAAAATGTGGGTAAACAAGGACGATTCATTTCTCACACCTAATCTGTTTAGCTAGTAGTTGATGGCATACATTTTTCATTGACATGTTTTATTTTTTCACAGGCTCTGTAAAACGCCTTTTTGTTTTCAAAATAACAAAATATCATTTTTAAAGAATAACTTAAAGATCTAATAAAGATAATGGAAACCAGCATGAGGGGCAAAATGTTTGCAAAAGCATTTTTTCCAATTTTTAAAACTATAACTAGTTGAAATTCCACATTTTAATGTAATAAAATCTAGTTCTTTTCAAAAATATATTTTAATTTATTTTAGAGAGAGAGGGAGAGAAACATGGATGTAAGAGAGGAACATTGATCAGCTGCCTCCTGCACGCTCCCTACTGGACATCAAGCCTTCAATCTGGGCACGTGCTCTGACCAGGAATATTTCTGTGCATAGGATGGCACTCAACCAACTGAGCCACACTAGCCAGGGCTAGTTCATCTTTTCAATTGGTCAGAATATGTATATATATGCTTTCAGTTCAAAGTTCAGGATAAATGCCTTAGAACATTTCAGAAAATGAGAATCCTGGGTATTAAGGAGAGAGTAAAATGTAATTTGAAAAGCCAAAACTCTAATGAGAAAATAGAAGTGCTATTAAAAGTAATCTTGTGTTTTTGATGGCTTTAATTAAATGGAGCCTTGTAAGAAATTGACACATGGAGACACATTGGGGAAACTTTTCTTCATCTGTCCTAATCAGGATAGTATTTAAAAATGTTTGCAAATTATTAAAGTTTTAAGGAGTTTAAGTAAAATAAGAGACAAGCAAAAAATAAAAATAAACATATTCTCATTGAGTAAAAAGCTGTTTTTAAATATGATTAAGCAAAAGCATGTGTGTGTTTGTATGTTTTATGTTTGTTATCAGTATCAGATGAACTGCTACCAAATATAGTTTTGGGGAAAATAGAAAAATAAGAGGAAGTTAGAAAAAAGGGGAATTTTGAGGAAAAGGGAGGGAAGAAAAATAATAGAAGTGAGAAAAGCAAGAAAAAAAATAAAGAAAAAGAATTAAAAGGAAATATATATATATAAAGGAATAAAAATGAGGGAGTTAAAATGCAGAAAATTTTAAAAGTAATTGGTTTATTATTGTAGAATTTCACAAAGAGCATTTTTTCAAACATGAAATTTAATCAGTAGCACAATAACAGAAGTTACTAGTAATGACTGCATTCACCCATTAAAATGGGTAGGAATGTAAGAGATTTGTGTGTATTCATAATTATCATAATGAAACGGCCATTTTGTCTTAACAAATATATAATAACTCACTATAAAAAAACCACACTGGCTTTATTATAGAAAATAGCATTTTCATTATACAGATTCCAAGGATGTCAGAAAACTCATTTAAAATAACCTGAATATAAAATAACAGTATTTGTATAGAAAAATGAAAAATAGAGAAAAATAGCCATATTTATCACATCATTTAATTTAGAAGTAGAAGGGCTTTCATATATTTTTCAATATTGTACTTAAAAATTGACTTCTACCAAAGGAGAAGTCATATGCATGCATATGAGCATAACCAATGGACACAGATAGTAGGGGGCTGAGGGCATGTGCGGGGGGATGGGGGCGGCCAGGGAGAGGTCAATGGGGTTAAAGGGAGACTTATATAATACTTTAAACAAGAAGAAATTTTTTAAAAATTGACTTCTACCTGGTAAATTTATAAATTATCTTTTAAGTTTAGAAATAAAGTAAAATTTGAGGTCACACACTTATAGTTTTCTAAGTCCTAGCAGAGTAATTAGGTGTGAATATTTATAACTCTAAAACCTTTATATTTTTCTACACAAATTATTCACTAGACTTTTCCCCTTCAGATTGAACACAGTTTAAATATTATTTTAAAAACACATAATTTAGCATTGAAATATGTGTACCCTGAATTGGTGGGTAATTACAGAAAAGTTCTAAAGTAGGCACTTCAGTTACCTTTTTTATCTATTTCAAAGTCAGGAATTAAAAGACAGAAGTTTGTTTCTGTGATTATTTGCTCATAGCATAAAAGACCTGAACTTACTTTTAAAACTGAATATGCCCTCTTATTTTGATTTTTTCTTTCTTGTTATTTTCTTTGATGAAGATTATAAAAATTAGATATTCTTTGCTTTCATTTGTACAGAAAGCAAAGAAATAAACAAGTTATCAAACAAATTCACAAAGTGGATATGAATGATTTCTTTAATTATTTGCCTCTATGCTTTTCTCTAGTAGTGATCAGCAAATTCTAGTAAATTTATATTATATTCAAAATTTAAAAAATTATCAGCAGTAGTTAATATTAAAATATCATCTTTTAAAATTTGCTCATCCTTTTAGAACTATAAAGATCACATCATAATTTGAAAAATTAGTTTATTTGAGAAAGTGGAAGGAAGCACTTACTAAAACTGAACCAAGTTGGCTAAAATTGGGAAAGCTCTTCTTTTATGGAAGTTGATTAATTTGATACATCTACTTACATGTGCCTAAAGAAGTTGAACTGAAAATGGATAGTAAAAGGAGCCAAAATAGTTTTTCTACACTAGTAAACTAGTAAACATAGAAATATTAAAGACATATCAAACATTTGACAAATTCAACATCTAGTAATGATAAATTTCTCATCAAATAAGAATAAAAAAACTTTCTCAATTGTATTGAGGGCATCTATGAAAAAGCAAAGGGTATAAATAATATAGTACTGGTGAAACACTGAAAAAATTTACCACTTCTATTAATCATTGCACTGAAAGTCCTAATTGTTCAATAAGGCAAGAAAAATAAAGGACGCACAGATTAGAAAGAAGTGGGAAAAAATACAGACAATATCATTGTACTCTTAGATAATATTATGTAGTTAGAAAGTAGGAAGGAATTAAAACAAAGAAAACTTCTTAGAACTAATAAGTAAGTTAAGCAATGTTGCCACATTCAAGGCCCCACAGAAAAATTAATTATATTTCTATATTCCAGCAATATGCTCTTGGAGATCAAAATTGCAAAAACAATGCATTTATAACAGCTCCCTAAAAATCAAATACTTAGCAAATTATGCTTTAAAAAACAAGTATAGAATCTGTATATTGAACTTTACAAAAACTGATTACATAAATCAAAAAAGCTTATGTAATGAAGACATATATATGTTTATTATTGGAAGATACAACATGGTAAAGATGTAATTCCACTCAAATTCCCAGCACGATTTCCTATAGATATAGACAAGAGGATTCTAAAATGTAGCAAAGAAACTGTAATAGCCAAAACACATTTTTTTTAAAAAGAACAAATTTGAAGGAGATACACTACCCTCTTTTAAGACTTATTATGAAATGACCCTATCAAGATAGTGCAGCATTGTTGATGAAAAAGACATATAGATCAATGAAACAGAAGAGACTTTCCAGAAATAGTCCACACAAATATGGTCAATTGATTTCTAACAAAGTTGCAAAAGGCAATTCAATAGGTAATTCAAAAGAAATGAATTTCAACCTTACAATTTACGCTTTAGATTAAAAAAAGAATAAAACAAAAC